CAGATCTTCTAAGCCAGCCGAACTGATGCTTCGGTGTGAGAATGGCTGGGTCTTTGGCGCAGAAAGAGCTTTCATGCAGATGAGAAAATGATAAAAAAGACTCTGGTCTAATATACAGATAAACTAAGTCCAGGAAGGGTATCGTAATGGCCATGACAGAGTCGGATAATCTGCATGATGACTTGACCTTCAGCCCTATGGACTAAATTGGCGCACTGCCTTTGCTCAAGAGCGTGACCCTGGTCAAGGCGCAGACTCTCGGCAATTTCAGCATCCGTTTAATGTGGCTTGGTAACATTTGTGTCTTGAGGTGGGCACTGCAATCTGGCAGAAGATCCTTCGGTGGATAGCATCGACGGAACCTGACTTGAGCTAAGGACTTTTTACCAGAGTCTACTACTGTCCTAGTACCTCGAATAGCTGGGCTTTGTTTGACAGTCCTTCTCTGAGATAGTCAAGAGGAGGATTTGTGATATTGGTGCTGAGTTTATGGAAACATAGGGGCAATCTAGCATCATTCATTGTCTGTCTTGAATGAAGTGAGAAAATCTATATTCTAGGTTGCCCTTTCTTTTAGTATTGTATCTATATTTTATTCACTGTTTTAGTTGCAGTTACAAAATATGGCCTGAAGCTTTTAATTGCCAGACTGAAGTTGATTTTGACCACTATAACCCAGCTTTTCAAGGTGACTCAAGGGGCAGGCAGCTGAAAACAGGTACAAAGGGCAAGCAAACTAGACCTTGGATTGTAGTCTCACGGTAAACCTGAAAATTCCAAGAAAACAGCTCACAAACAAAATGACTTTGACCCACTTACCCGCCTGGCCTGCGTCCTCCTTCAACTGACATCTTGGTAACCTAGACTTTGCATCACCTGAGCCCAAAACTCAGCAAAATCACCTTAATCCGTCGCCATCATCACTACCGAAACCACCAGCAAGAGAGATATGGAGGCCGGGTCAGAAGACAGCCATGCCGCTCTGATGAAAGAGTTGGAAGCTGCTATGAGAAAAGCAGCAGTAAGCAAAGGTCAGCTTGTAACTGACCACCCAAATCCTGAAGTTCTTGCCGAAGCATTCCGACAGGAAACTGCGAGACACAACGGCACCCCAGAAAAGAAACCCATCTACGTCATTGAGATCCAAGATCTCCACGAGCCATGCCTAATCCCCGAGAAGGACCTTGAACCAATGTCTATCTCTGACATGAGGCTTCAGACCCATCATCGTGGCAAGAAGGTCTTGCTTCGGGTGAAAACCGCACCCGCTCGGGCTGCGGCTGTTGTGACCATCGTGGAAGATGAAGAAGGGACAGCAGTCCTACTAGCGCTTCATCAACAGCTCGAGGAGGACTTATCGGCCGTCAGACATCCTGCTCAAGACTCCGTAGCCGTCCTTAAAAATCCCTTCTTTGATAAAATAGCCGAAGGGACTTACTCTCTCCAAGTTTACCACCCAAGCGACATCATCTGGCTGGAGCACCACGACGAGAGAATCCCCGAGCAGTGGAGAGTCCACGAGAAGATCAAGAGTAGCGAAGAATATCATGCCGAGGGAGCAGAGCTCGCGGAAAAGGAGCACTGGCTGCACGCACTACACTCGTGAGTTTCTCCATGATCTTCATGCCAACACCCTTACTTCTAACACTACCAAGATACACCTTGGCTATTAGCACATCAGGGTCACCATATGAGAAGCAGCAGGCACTTCTTGGCCGTTCCCAAGTCAATCTCCAACTCGATCGCCCTCGTCAGGCGTTACTAGATGCTATCGAGGGAGATGGCCTTCTTGCAGCTTCAACTGAGGAGTCCTTGCTTCTTCGAGCTCGCGCAATCGACAACCTGGGGAAGTTTGAGGAGTGCCTAGAAAAGCTTCAAGCTCTTACAGCAGCGTTTCCCAAGAGCGTGCCTGGTTGGAGCATGAAGTCAGCCATCTTTAAAAGACTCGAGGAGCAGAATGATGGTGAGTATGCTTTTGACGATATGCTTGTTGAAGCCCAAGAGACACCTCCATTAATCGACCGCGCCACCTTCTCCTCTCTTGTCGAGATCCGTATCGCCCCTGGCCGAGGCAAAGGGTTCTTCCTTACCAAAGACGTATCTGATGGCGACTTGATACTCTGCGAAAAGGCGTTCTCATACTATTTCATGGATGAAAAGAGTCATAAGACATATCCCATTTTAGGGAACTTGCCCCGCAAGGAAGTGACAACTGGTGGCTCTGTTCGCCTGTGGGCACAAGTCATCCAGAAGCTGTATCACAACCCAGAGCACATTGATGCCATCCAAGAACTGTTCCACGGCGACCAAAAGAAGCTTCAGATCACTGAATGTGACGGAAGTCCTGTTGTTGACTCGTAAGTTCATCTCCACCGCAACATATTGTCGGACACCCTGCTAACGTGGCTGAAGCTTTATGGTAGAAAGAATCATTCACTACAACGCAGTGAACGCCCCGAGGACTACAAGCGATGACTTCGAAACCAGGGTGTCTCGCAAGACAGGGGACACCCTAGAGATCGAAAACAGCGACACCAAGTTCCTGACTTCAGGCATCTGGCTCCTCGCTTCCCGAATCAACCACAGCTGTGTCAGCAACTGTCGGCGTTCTTTTATTGGCGACATGCAAATCATCCGAGCTACTCAGGATATGTCCGCCGGAACGGAGCTGCTTCTCTCCCATCGTGCTCCCTGCTCCTTCGAGTCCTACGAGGAAGTACAGCACCACCTCTCCCGTTGGGGCTTCAAGTGCGCGTGCGATCTATGCAAGAGTAGAAGCAAGGAAGACAAAAATGTCCTGGAAAAGCGAAGCAATATCTACGGCGAGGCTTTAGATCTTCTGAAGACTGAAGTGCTTCAATTCAACTTTGACATAGCCAGAACACTTCTGAAAAAAATGGAGAACACTTACAAGGGGAAGTCCACCAACAAAGTCCGATTGGAGCTTTCGGAACTTTGCTTTGGGATGTGCGATCGCTACACGGAATCGGTGATGCCCGTCGACTTTGTCAAGACAACCGTGAAGTCACTCGAGTCATTGGGCTTCGTTATTGTCGTGTATATCCCCGGCCAAAAGCCCGACGGCTTCCGATTCCAAGTGAAGAAATGGGGCATGTCGGCCAACTATGTCGTCTATCTGTTTCTTAATTTGGCTGAACTGTACGGGCAGGTATCGCGACAGCTCTCCATATACGTTTACAACTACGCCATAATCTCGTACAAAATGCTTGTTGGCGAAGTGGCCTCGATGGGGCGGTTGCTGTCGGACGTCGTTGAGCACTTCAGCTCTATGTAAGGGAAACAACTCTTGTATTCACACTGGACTGAATACTCAGACTTGAGCAAATGCTTTAGGCATCCTATTCTTTTGGATTGGCAAACCAGTGGAACAGCCAGCCATTGTTCTGAAGCAGGAAAGACGGACGGGGGAGAGGGAATGAATGTAAATTAGCTCTGTTGTTGCTACAGAATGAAATGAAGACCGATATCCGTCCCCAAAATATGTACTATCAACAAACAAGCACCATGTATGTCCCTAGCGATCATCCTTAACTTTTCTCCAAAGGCCTCCAGACTCTCAGGCGCTACCGACGTTGACATAGCACAAGACCCATCCAAACTGAACAGGGTTGAAGAGACTGATATGAGCAGGCGTCTTCTTCGTAAAAGCAGCGCTCCCAGGCTGGGTTCCAAGGTTGTCCTTGTACATCTGACAGGTCACCTTGTCAGGATCGATCTTCGTGCCGTCGGGGAGAAGGAACTGAACGCCGCGGAGCTCAAGGTCGGTGATTTGATAGTCGATATGTGTGAGCTTGCCGAAAGGAACGTCGACGAATTTGTGAGCGCTCTGGTCTCGGTTGAAGGCATAGACACTAGCTGTTGCGAAAGTCTCGGTCTTAGGGGCAGCTGTTGCGGTGGATGCGAGGGTCGCGACCGCGGTTGTGAGGGTGGTGATGAAACGCATGCTAGCGAAGAAGTTGATAGAAAACTGATAATATGTATTGAGGTAGTGTATAAGAGATTGTTGATTCATTTGGATACTGAGGATGGCGAGTCTCTTTATGCACTTGGGCAGCTCTGAGCGTTATTAGCTATCGTATCCTCATAACTATTTTTAGGGAAGTAAGATTCCTACGATTTAATACGGACCAAACTCCTCGTGTTGACTACACGTCCCGTGGACCATTTAACACAGTGTAGGCAGTATTAAAAGCCTCAACGAAGAATAGTCAGCACTTGCTTATAACCCAGTACCTCGAATCACTTTCCCGTATTCGATGCTATGTCTCCCTGGTCACAATCCACACTTTGAGGCTGAGTGACTTCATGCATGTCGATCATCTTCCCTATGGTGTAATCAAAATGGCTCTGGACCAATGGATATGAGGCAGTCAGCAATGGTGCCTCGTGTCCTGGTCGATCATGTGTCAGATTTGAGCCGCTCGTCAGCCCAACTCATCCAAGCCATGCAGCTCACTGCTTGCTAGAGAAATTGCCGAGCATCCTTGGCGGTAACGAGATAGATGGTGATACACTTTCTGTATACGGACCTGATAGCATACGAATATCATCGCAGACAGTATCAGATATAGCGTTCTGCGTTACCTAAGGGATAATCTGTTGCAGCTGTGGCATGCCCAGCCACTTGTAGCCACTCATTTTAATTCTTCTGATTCAATGAACAGTTAAGATATCACTTTGAAATATAATTTAATGTTTATTCAGTAGAATTTACGACTCAATGACCTTTATTGTGCTGTCCATGAGGCGTTACCAGGTCCTTTAAGGAGGAATATGGCCAAGAATGACTGGCGCCAAAACATCGAGTTCAGTAACGATACAACAACTTTGATAGCGTTCACTATGGTAGCTATTGGACTTAGCTTATCAATGTCCCAATGCTACCCTCCTTCTTTGTTTAGGGCTTTCTTCAAATAACCCTCGTGGAATTCGCTAAGCTATATTGATGCGTCTGTTCTTGGCCAAGGCGTGGGGAGATATCACTTGCAGTACCCAACATTCGGATCAGAGCTAGAGGTTATCATGTTAGGTTAGGCAAAATGCACAAATACCATACCAGGATCAAAGCTCACCTAAATTCCCATCCCGAAACACTACTAACCCCTCCCTTATCACAGCCACGAACTTCATTGCTTAACCCGCCAATACAGTGTTCATCCTGAAGATCGAATGAATCGCGAGTATTCTGGTTGGTGATAGCGAATTCCCACTTGAGGTTGTCAGCGACCCTGACGCAGAGGTATTTTCTCTGACCCGGTTTGAAGACACCGGTAAAAACACCACCACGACAGGCTGCTTCGACATGGCCTACAGCCATGTCCTTATTCGACCAATTGATGCCGCTGGTGAAGCATTTCCCAGAGACTCCAGTGAAATTGAAGGTGGACAGTATGATGAGTGAAGCAAAGTTGATGGGGAGTTGCGTATTGGAAAGTTTGACTTGGACACTTTATCTTGAGAAAAGTATAAAAAGAAAGGCTGAAGCTGAGAAGGCAAAGAAATCGATTCCACGGTAGTCCAAAAGTTTATTTTATACTGGATTGTTCATTAACGAAACTACTCTATAACACTAGAAACCCATAGATGCAAATAGGTCCATGGCCATGCTGGCGGGACTTAAACAGGAGAGCAATCATTACGTCGTTCTAGACTTTCAGCCTGCCCCATCAACGAAGGACAGGTAAGCTGACTGCATACAAATTTCTGACCTTTAGCCGTAAAGTACCGTCAGAAAAGCCCTGACCTTCCCATTCAGTACCCTTCAGACAGCTGATGATTTCTTCTGCCGAATTTCGCTTGGGTAATGTTATCCAGGCAAAGGCTCCATGCATCTCGAATGACCCGAGCCCCGACTAAATGAATGCACAGAATTTAGTCACTTGTTTAGGATGTGGCAAGGCCAATATTTACGTGTAGACTTTGATGTGGCAACAGACCGACTTGGTACAGATTCATGAGGAACTAAGAATTTTAATTTAAGCAGATTGAAGTTCAACATTAAAGTAAGCAATTAGCTGTACAGTTAACCAATTGAACATCAAGATCTGCCTGGACGCCAATTGCCGAAAAGAAGATGCCAAGGGCCTATTATGCAGTCGCTGAAGGGAAAAGGAAATGGCAGAATACGTCAAGCCAAGCTTTGATGGCACAGAATACATCCCCATTTCTAGACCAGGGTTCAGCGATGCAAATAGCTCTACGTTGTATTCGGGAAAAGCCAAGAACTCCGTGAGAGATCTACGGCCGTGTCGAAGTGGATCACCAAAAGTTCCCAGTCAGCCTAACCGCCTTGTTTCGGCAGCTGCTATAGCATATCGGCCCACCATGTCGTAGGTTAACGGCCCTTGAGACGAGGTTCACTATTTCATGATCCTTGGAATTGCTTCGCTCTGTGATCCTTCGCCAAAGGCATCACCGAATCTTACTCAGGCATACGATGCTACCTACCTAAAGGGAAGATTAACCGGAAGATGATTTCAGAACTGTGTACCAGGTCGAGAAATTGACTTGGGGGCTTTTCATATAAATACATGTCATACCTTCGACAAACCTTTTGAACCCAACTCAAGATAAACATTCTCAGGCCATCAGCACTCTAAACATCCCATCAACTTCGGATCATCTTCAAGTATGCATTTCACTACAACTCTCGCATCTCTCGTGCTCTTGGGAGGCTCTGCCATTTCTGGCGTTGAAGCTAAGTGCTTCACCAGTGGCATTACATGGCCAGGCGGCCTGAATGTCTTCGTCGCGGACGTTGAGCGTGAATGTCGCCGTGGTGCGTTTACGGGCACGTTCCGTCCTGGCGAGGTCAAGTACAAGTGCATCCAGTACGGAAGCGGTACCAAAATGGAGTACTCCATCACGAACAAGAACACCAGAGACTCCTTTGATCTTCAGGATGAGCATTGTATTGGTGGATTGAGTGATGAGATCCGAGGCTGCTCCCGGGGAGGTTCGTCCGAGAAGTCAGGATGGGTCTTCACGTAAGTCATTGCTATCCGTTTATCCGCAGACATTTTGAAAGACGCGAGGACTGATAAATTATACGTAGCTCGGACCCTAATGAGGGCCGGTGTTAAAGAATTGCCACTTCGTCATTGAACCTTGAGGCTTGACCTTCTATACGCTTTTTCTAGATTTGGTGGATGCATACACTTCCGTGTCTCGAGGAGACATGAGGCCAAGGCATTTCATTAAGCCGAAGACTTGAGAACGGGTGTGAGAAACTTAAGATTTCGGGAAGAAATACCAGATGGTGGCCGCGAAGTTAGACCATTGAAGCTCTGTTTGCCAAAGCCACTTTCAAGATACTTTATTTAGGTCACATAACTTTGAATACATTCACTACTGCGATTCATGAGACTATTAACATGTTGATTTGTTCCTTGACGTTTCATGATAGGGGAGGACTGAGCGTAGTGACAGAGCAGGACAGGCCGATATGTGACCCAAAATCTGCTTATCGGTAGGGAACAGAAAAGAAGGCAAAGAAGATAAGATAAATCTTCATCAACACGAAACCCTAAACTCGAATCGGATGAGTTGAGTGAAGTTATCATGATGATAGTGAATTAACTGCGGGGGCCAATCGGCCATCTCTTAGAGATTCCTGTTTGGTACAAGCGCCAGAAGTGCAGTCTGATAGTCTCCTTGATTGGGTAGAATTCTGTACCACACATCAAGATGCTCCACTTCTTGAAACCGGGCTTGACAGGATGGACGCCAGGAATGAATGGATATATAGCCATGACATTCCCCTTCTCGAGACTTATTCTTTTGTTCTCAATAACAGCTAAAAATGGCGGTACTATCTCCTGCTCTTTTTGCTGGCGCAGCAGCGCTCATTTTTATCGGCGCTCTAATCGTCCGTCTGCGTTCACCTTTGGCTTCCCTCCCAGGACCTCGCCTGGGTCTTTTAACAGCTTGGCAATTAAGGTACCATGAGCTTCGTGGAAAGAGAACACAGTATGTTCATAAAATGCACCAGAGATACGGCAACGCAGTCCGTGTAGCCCCAAATGAGGTTGTCTTTTCGTCACTGGATGCGATGAAGGAGATATATCTGTCCAAAGGTAGTGGCTTTGATAAGACAAGTTTCTACAATCTCTTCTCCCAGTTCGGGCTCAGGTAAGTCGACACTCAGTACCAATATGATATATCGAACTGACCGAGGAAAGGACAATGTTCTCAACCCTGCCAAAAGGCCCAGTAAGTCTCGAACACGACTTGGAACCAGCAAAACACTAAACAGCCCGTACAGCACAGCCAGAGACGACGAGTAATTGCCGACCGTTATGCAAACACTAACGTCAACCGTGAAGCCTCTATACACGGCATACAAGAAAGATCACAAAACTTCATCTCTCGTTGCAAAGATGCTCCAAAGCAGGAGCTTGACGTTTACGTACGCCTTCGTGATTCTTTCTGTGCTTCGTGGCTAATGTGAAGTAGATATTCCTCCACTGCTACGCGTTCGACTGCGTTACACATCATCTGTTCCATCCTCATGGTAGTGACTCGATTCTTCAGGCATCAGATAAAGAAACACTCCATGAGGCGGTCTTTGACAACAGCCTTGTTAGTAAGTATCACCAAGAACCCTGGAGGGCAAGGTACTGACACGAATGACAATAGGACGACTCTTGAACTATTACCACCCGACTCTTGGTAGCGTTGCAGGCAAGTTGGGCTTGTTCGGAAAGTCACGCGGTATTCCTAGGTCTACAGAACTTGTGCTCAATGGTGTGAAAAAGGGCGGCGTCGCTGACTTTACACTGGTGAGTCGTATGCAAGAAGAGAAGTTCGGCATGGGAATTTTCGACATCGCTTCTGAATGTATGGATCACATGCTTGCTGGGATCGAAACCACTGGTGATGCGCTGTGTTTTCTGATGTGGCAGATTTCCCAGCCAGGCTATACCTTCATCCAGGACCGCCTAAGAGATGAGTTTAGAGCCAGCCCTGGTGTTCCTTCCGATCAACTTAAGTACCTCGAAGCAGTGGTCAAAGAGGGTCTCAGAGTCTTCCCTTCCATCCCCATGAGTTTACCAAGGTGCGTTCCTGAAGGTGGCGCAATTGTTGATGGCTACTGGCTTCCGGGAGGTACTATTGTGAGCTGCCAGCCATACTCGATGCATCGGATGGATGAAGGAGTGTTTCCTCGTCCAGATAGCTTTGAGCCGCAGAGATGGCTAGAGGAGAAAGGTTCAGCTGAGCGAAACCGACTGTTCTTTGCGTTCTCTAATGGAGGTCGTGCATGCATTGGAAGGCAGTAAGTATACGACCCCCCGCTGAGGATGCCGGCTAAACTGTTGTACAGTCTTGCTATAGTTGAGATGAAGACCCTTTTGCGTGACATCTATTCGAGGTATAGAACAGCCCCTGCGGATGGCATGAATTTTGATATGAGCATGGACGACCAGATTTTCACATGTCGTCCGAAAGACCAGAAGTGTATTTTGAAGTTTATCGAATGGGATTGAGTTCACAGGTTGTAAATGTCCAAAGAACTGCCGCCGAACTTTGATGTTGTGCCGGGGAGAAAGGCAGGACCATTAGGCTCAATTAAATACCAATTTCTTTCTTCAGCGATGAATGCGAAGGCTTCGCTGTGCCCTTGGAAATATGATGCATGTGTCGATGTTACGTTGACACAGATAGTTGAAGCAGAATGCTTTAGAGAACTTGCGAGTGGAAAACAACAAACAGGTCTCAATTAGGGGGGTCTAATCTCGTTCTGGCGTTAGTGTAACCCTGCGGGGACCTGCACCGAAGCCCAGCTCACTGGAACCACTCACCAAACCCTCACCAACTCATCCCAGTCCACGAACATAGCAATGAGCGCTTCGGCCCCAGAAACTCCGAAACCGCTACCAAGGCAAACCAGGTCCCGAGGAGGGTGCGTGCGATGTCGCCGCCGACGGCAAAAGTGTGACGAGAGTAAGCCCTCTTGCGATAGATGCGTCGAGGCTGGAAGTATCTGCAAATACGAGGTCACGCTGAGTTGGGGCGGAAGATCATTCGCCAAGTCCACCTTCGGAAAGTGTCTCCATGATATCAAAAGAACGGGTATGTTCAATAGACGAGAGACTTGGGTGAGCGCTTACTTATGCTGGCACAGACAACACCCCGACAGGCAATGGCTTTGTCTACACCACGACCCATGCCCAGTCGCCTAGGCCCAGAGCATCGCGGAGGACCACAGCGACGCGGTCAGATGTCACCAATGGGCGAACACTCCAGCACTCGACGGAAAGCTGTATGCCGGAAAGTCCACCGAATACACAGGGGGGGAATGTCGCCACCACCAATGCCTCAATGATGCTGAGAAGCAATTGCATTCCTCAGGTTTTTTTGAGAGTTGAGTCACCAGGTAGTCCTACTAGCCCGCTGCACGACTTACAGGCATACGTTCCGCGACCGCAACATCAGATATCATTTCTTCCTCCCATGGCTCAATACCTCTTCCAATTCTACCTCTCCGAAACGATGAGACTTACAGTCCCCAGCAGCTATGCTAAAACAGAGATTTGCCGATTCCTCGTCCCGATGTCGCTCCAGGAGCCCAGCTTACTCTACGCAGTAATGGCGTTCGCCGCTGTTCATCTCAATGCCATTGATATGCTGCCCGGAAACTCCCAACGACTTATCGATAGTCTCCATTGGGCGAGCATCAACCATCTTCGAAGATTGCTAGAAGCTACCGACTCTACGTCACAAACGGTGGCGTTGGCTACCACCAGAACACTATGCCAGGCTCAGATCTACGGTGGAACATCATTATGGCGCATCCATCTTGATGGTGCACGTGCTATCCTTCAGACAGCTCAGGAAGGCAAACAAGTGATGGACAGATCTCATGTGCCTATGAACACAGGGTTTCTGGATAGTTGGTTCCATAATGCGGAAGGACTAGCTTCCTTGAGCCCTGCCGGGCTGCTCGGCGGTCAGCTTCTTGTCCACGGCCAGACTGACTCTGGGGCGTTTCTAGATATCTACGGTGGTGCCATGTCTGATCTTCCTGCATTATTCAAAGAAGTCGGAACTCTCTTGGGAAAGAAACACATACGCACCCCTGAGCTCGAGCTCGAAACGGATAATCTTGTTCAACAGATCCTTACAAGGATTTCTCGCGACAAAGCCGAAAATATCATCATCGCACCAGATATGCTCTCGTTTCTCTCCGCGAACGATATCCAAAACTACGCACTCAGCAACGCTGGGTTTCTCTATATGGCACTATTACATTTGCACTGTGGTATGAGATCTCTGCCGCCTTTCGCTATAGAAGTCCGCTTTTGCGTTTCTCAAATCATTCAGTGCGCTCATAGAATGTCTCGCGAGTCCGGATTGTCGCCGAGAGTACTCTTAGTCTCACCTTTGTTCACTGCTGGAATTTATGCTATAGGGGCTGCGCGAGATGAGATTAGGCTCGAGCTTGCAGACATTGGGAGATGGATGAAGACTCCTCATCTTTTCAAGACATTAGAGCTATTGGAAAGAGTTTGGTTTCAGCACCCCGATGACTCAACGCGCACTTGGGAGACGATTGAAGATATCACCGTCGACTTTCTTCCTTACTAGCTCGCAACTACTCGAAGAAAGCTTCAAAGCTTCTTCGACCGGTAAGGGGAGGATAGCAGCATACTAACTACTGTGGAAAATACAGACCAGCTCATTACATGATTGTTACTAGACTCTCTCAGTTTCAACGACGTTGAGCTCAACGCTCAATTTTCCAACTATTTCTCCGACACCTGGTTCCTGCACTTTGTAACCTCGAAACTTCCTGGCTGGCAGCTTCTCGTTGAACTACACAGAATAGTGAGTAATCTTGCCTTAGCTTCTGGTTCGACTTCGGGTTACTTACCATAGCATCGATTTCTTCCAAAGTTCGTCCCTTGACTTCAGGTAGGAAGAAGTACACCCAAACAGCACTAATAATGCACGAAGGGAACCAAATGTAGCCATATCTTGGTCCCCAGTTCAAAGCGACGGGATTAATGAAGTACGGAGCGGTGAACGTGATCAACCAAGCGCCGAAGAATCCTGCTGCTGCAGCAAGGCCGAAGGTGTAGCTTCGAAGGCGTTGTGATGGGATTTCGCCGGCAACGAGCCATGAATATGGAGCAATCATGCCCTGAAAAAGAACATCAGCAACAATGTCTTCACATAGACATTGGATACTCACATTGAAAGCCATCATGTAGAAGCATGATAGCGCAACCAGTACCTTGCCGGTAACAATTGCCCCGGGGTTATGATCGTAAACGACCGCGATGATCAATTGGAAGAAGCCAGCCGTGATGAGGCCACAAAGGAGGAGTACTCGTCGTCTTCCATACCGAACAACGATGCAAACATTGGCGATGATAGCAATCATACCTGCCATGCTGAGAACGTTGCTCATGGCAAATGGGTCTTGAACCTTAGCCATGGCGAAGAAGTAAGCCTTGTACGCTGCGTAAAGGTCAGTCGCATATCCCTTGGACGAAAACGAAGATGGTTACCAATGATGAACATTGATCCAGTGGCAGCTTGGAGACAAACAGCACATATGGAGATCATTGTTCTCCTTCTGTCGATCGGGTTGTTGAACATATCCAGGATACCGACACCCTTAGACAATGCACGCTCGTTATCAATAGCTTGACGGATATCTGCAAGCTCCGCCTCGGTATCTGCGCCCTCTGGCCTGAGCCACTTGAGCGACTTGAGGCCATCTTCGTAACGTCCTTGAAGAACAAGCCATCTCGGTGACTCTGGAATGAACGGCAAGCCAACGAATATGATAGTTGGGACTATATATATCATTCCGAGAGGGATGAGATATGCAGAGCGATCGGGGCGTTTCGCTGTTGCCCAGTCGATTATGGTACCGATGAGTGTACCCTACAAACCACGAGTCAGTATCGATGCACTCTCCATACTGTCAGATAGGAGTACTGACAAAGGTTGTGCACAGATGAAACACGGTCAAGAACAAACCACGATACTTTGCCGGACTACTTTCTTGGATGTACAGTTGGGAGAAGGTCATGAAGTAGCCGTTGGCCAACCCTATAAGAAGTCGACCGACGTACAACGGCCCAATATGCGTCGTGGTCATCATGATGATGTTAGACACTGCGCAAAGAATGCAAGCCATCCAAAGACACATTTTCCTTCCAAGCTTTGCGGCAACGAACCCCGCGAGGCTGGAGCTGATGAAGGCGCCCATCGTCATTAGGGACGAGATAAGCTGCTGTCGGGTGGTGTCGATGTTCCACCCGATTGCGACTTCGGGGTCTCGGTAGCCATAGATCTGAGGGAACGCGATGGTCAGTACAAAAGTTGCATGCGTGTCAAAGAGAAGAGAGTGCAGGTGCCTACCTTGAGAAAGCCAGGCATGGCTTGTAGTCCACCGATCAACCCAAAGTCAAGGCCATACTGGAACGGAGAGAGAACAATGATTCCGCATGCTACGAAACATCGCCAATGGGCACGGATAGTATCCTGCGATGGGTCTGCCATGGTGAAGAGCTAGATGGAGTGAGAATGATGAGGTGAATTGGGCAGTCAACCGCGTTGGACATCATGTTTCTGCGGCTACCGTTTCCTTTCATACTGGAACTCAACTGGAGAGACTTGGCCAATCGCCTGGCAATCGTTCATCCAGATACAAAAACATCGAAACCTCTTATCACTAGCTGTATCCATGAGGGTTGGCGCTCAACCGAAGTGCGGGGTGCATGATAGGTTCCACTTAGAGTCGCAGATCAAGTCAGAGTTGCACCCAGTCGCCAGCCTGAATGGGTGTTGTTGCTTTGGGTTATCGGGGTGTTTCTTCCGAGAGTCGCCCTCTCGTCTCGAGTTCGGCGATATGGATCCGATGGGATGAGTTGGCAAGCTAAGCCCAAAGCTACAGAGTTATGAACTAGAACTGCCCTTGCATCAACCTTATCCAACAAGATGTGAAGCCTAATTGAATTGCCAAGTACTTCCCCGCAATCCGAGAGTCATGCTGAAGTTTTAGTCTCGTCTTGCATGAGTTTTCAGCTTAAGTTGGGAGTCATCGCAACTGACTGCGCTGCTAATTCCCGAGCCAAATGCCGGGACCAGGGTAACATCCCCCCCTCATCATCTAGACTGGCATTGATAGCCACGACATTGCCTGACAAAGCGATGACAAGTAAGTCACGTTGCGAAACTCTTCCGCAGCCCGCAGGACGTGTGTTGCTTTGCATAGTTCTCTGCCAATGGGACCGCGAAGCTGGTTGCTAGCGTATAGGTATCCGACGGAGGTTAAGCACGTTGCGTGATACCCAGTTTGCTCTCGCTATTGGGTAAATACGGTCCTGTGATTTGAGTATCAGATTTCGAGATTCCGAATCGAGGATGGGGCATGAATATGGTTACTATGGACTGGGCTTGATCAGCAGCAAGTGAAACAAACTGATGACAGAGTCAGATCTATTACCGTACCCAGTTCCGCAGAGTTTGTTAGCGAGCGTGTTCCACCAACAGGGCCTACCGACTCTTGGCTGCAGAAGGATCTTAGTCGCAGATCAACAAGGCGGGGAACAAGACGGGGACAGCTACCTCGGCTTCTCAGGGTGATGGTTTCCGCTCCCATGATGTTCACATAAGTGACTTGTTGCATCTAATCCCAGGCCAAAGCTTTCGAGAGTGCCAGTACCAACTACTTAATATCCCCTCTCGTCAAATAATGGCAGCTCACAAATCCGGTGTCAAGGTTATCATCGTTGGAGCAGGCTTTGGCGGTTTGACTGCCGCTATTGAATGCCACCGGCAAGGTCACGATGTTGAGATTTATGAGTCCTTTCCTGAACTCAAAGTTCTCGGAGACATTATATCATTTGGTGGAAATGCTGGCAGGATCTTTAATCGCTGGTCTGAAGGGGAGATTGTAGCCCGTCTACGCCCGTTGTGCATCGACATACAAGAATATGGCTTCAGAATTCACAAATGGGACACGGGAGAGGTCGTGTACCATCAGAAACGTCCCCCTCCCAACCCTGAAGCCCCAGTGCTGAATGGTCACAGAGGCGAGCTGCATGAGATTATCTTCAGTTATGCACGCGATGAGCTGGGTATCCCAATCCATCTAGGTCAACGAGTGTCTCAGTATTTTGAGGACTCCACGCAAGCTGGCATTATACTGAAGACCGGAGAGAAGGTGGGTTGCATACGTACCACGCAATACAGATCTTTTACTGACTCTTGTCCCAGATCACTGGCGACGTGGTGATAGGTGCTGATGGAGTGAGATCAAAGGCAAGAGAGCTCGTTCTAGGATATGTCGACAAGCCCAAGAGCAGTGGGTACGCTGTTTGGAGGGCATGGTAAGATTGAATCCTTGGATGGTGATCCCAAACTAGTTCACTAACGAGCACAAGGTTCTCGAACAAAGATATGATCCAAGACCCCCGCACAAAAGAGTTCTGCGAGAACGGCGATACCTTCAACGGCTGGATCGGACAAGATGTGCACTTCTTGTTCTCGACACTGAAAGGTGGCAAAGATTGTTGTTGGGTGCTTACTCACAAGGATGATCATGATATTGATGAGTCGTGGTCTTTCCCTGGTAAGATAGAAGAAGTGCTAGAGCTCTTGAAGGATTGGGATCCAACATGCCGAGCGATCGTGGAGAAGACGCCGTCGGTCGTTGATTGGAAACTGGTCTATCGTGACCCTCTACCGACTTGGATCAGTAACAAAGGGCGAATCGCACTTCTTGGTGATGCTGCTCATCCTTTCTTACCGACGAGTGCTCAAGGTGCAACTCAAGCCATGGAAGATGGTGTCACCATTGCTGTCTGCTTGAAGCGCGCGGGCAAGGGCAACATACCTGGTGCGCTCAAGGCTCATCAAAGTCTTCGGTACGAATCATGACATGCTGTTTGTATGTTTCTGCAGCAAAACTAACACAATGATAGGTATGAGCGCGTGAAAGCGGTTCAGAAGACGGGAGAGTCAACCAGAGATCTTTGGCACAAGACAGATTGGGATAAAGTCAAGGAAGATCCTAGCAGTATTGGATTCCCACGCGAGGATTGGATTCACCAATTTGATGCTGAACGGTATGCAGAGGAGAATTTTGAGAGTGCTCTCAAAATTTCATGGCATGAGGTCAAGGATAAGGTGCAAGTCGATGAGGCTCCTGCAATGGCGCAAGTAGCGGGCTAGGACTATGGTATTGTTCTGCTTATCATAGCTTTATTTCCTTCCGGCGATTGCTTCCAGCCAATATTTGATGACGTTGCGAGCCCTTAAATCGTCTGTCTTCCGGGTAGGCTGTCCCAATTATCAACCACGCGTCATAGACTTCGGCAGTTGATCAATTACTCATGCTGAATAATCTACCCCTGTCAATAAAACAAATCGTGCCTTACTGATGAATCGCGGATCGTCACATGAACGTAAGTTCCCGTCGGTCTTGAAGCTTCAGCAGAAATCCAAGAACCTTCTAGCGCCCTTCTATGAGATGGTGTTAACGTTATATCGAGGCCATACCTCGGTAAAGAGTTTCTATTCCAAGCATCGTCGCCGCGAACTAAACCAAAATTGTGGTCTGGAAGTGGAACATGACGGCATTGACTGGGTCTTTGGAACGAAGCTCGTGGCAATGATGGAACAAAACCCTTACAAGTCATGACATCACAAATATCCCGATTTGTAATATTCCCAATTGACTATAAACGTGCAAATGTCTCGGTGTTTATACTTTAGGGAATAGAGCAAGCAGTTGTAAAATAATATTATCTGAAAATGGCACCAAGACGATTCTTTACTGAACCAGCAGACGCAAGCCCTTTGGGCCAGCCTCTCAAATTCGAGTTCAGCGGTAAAACCGCCAAGAACCGATTTATGAAGGCTGCAATGACGGAACGACTCTCAACATGGGATCCCAAAGTCCTTGAGAAGCGAGGCGTCCCTACTCCAGAACTTATCAACGTCTATCGACGATGGGGCGAGGGAGATTTCGGTGTCATCCTGACCGGAAATGTTATGATCGAGTATGACCAGCTCGAGGCTGCTGGAAACCCTATCGTACCCCGAGATGCACCCGCGTCTGGCGAGCGGTTTGAAGCGTTTAAGGAATTGGCAACTGTTAGCAAGAAGTATGGAAGCTTGATTGTTGCACAGGTCAGCCATCCTGGACGCCAGGTCGCCGACAACATTCAAAAGAACCCCATTTCTCCTAGTGATGTTCAATTGGAGGGTGAGGTAATGGGCATGCACTTTGCCAAGCCCAAGGCCATGGATGAGCAAGACTTCAAGAATGTTATCGAGGGCTTTGCTCATGCTGCCGAGTTCCTTTACAAGGCCGGTTATGACGGCATCCAATTGCATGGCGCACAGTAAGTAGATCAAATCCCAGTGCTATGGAAATAATACTAATGGAGAGAAGTGGCTATCTCTTGGCCCAATTCCTTTCACCTACAACAAACAAGAGAACAGACAAGTACGGCGGTTCTATCGAAAACCGATCTCGCATCATCTTCGAGATTGCTGATGCTATCCGTGCCCGCGTCCCCGATAAGTCATTCAGCCTTTCCATCAAGGTCAACAGTGTCGAATTCCAAGAAGGCGGCTTCTCCACCGACGACTGCAAGGTCCTTTGCAAGCGACTCGAACAGCATGGCTTTGATTTTGTTGAGCTTTCTGGAGGAACTTACCAGAGCCTTGCCTTCTCTCATCGACGAGAGAGCTCGAAGAAGCGGGAGGCTTTCTTCCTTGAGTTTGCCGAGAAGATTATCCCCGAGCTTACCAAGACCAAGGCTTACGTCACCGGTGGCTTAAGGACAGTCAAGGCTATGAACGAGGCTCTAAAGACGGTTCATGGTATTGGTTTGGCACGACCCGTGACTAATGAGTTCGACTTGCCTGCCAAGATCCTCAAGGGCGAGGCTACCAGCGCAATCGACACTTTGCTCGACGAGCAGAACTTTGGTATTACCAATGTCGCTGCTGGCACACAGTAAGTCCACAAGAACTATAATCATTGCTGGCCGGAAGACTAATCTCTATTCAGAATTCGACTTGTTGGCAAGGATAAGCACCCTCTTGACTTGAGCCGAGAGGATCATAAGAGAATTTTTGAAGAATCTATGCAGAAGTGGGGAGAGGGTATGGCGCATAATGATGATCAGTCTAAGTATGGATATGTTGATATTGAAGGAGTCAAGCTGGAGCCATTTGGCCAAGCTTATGGGGCGGCGTAATTGACAATACATAATTAGATCTAGTATATAATAGACCATAATCTGAGTTCGTAACAGACTTGGCCTACTCAATATTAAAGTCATTGGCATATACCCAGCGGTACAATATCCCAAACACGACATTCAACATAATCTCAGATGAGGGGGGGTTAGACGCCTTGGCCAACATGCAGATCAGCTGATGTCAACATAACTCCATGAAAGTCATGGGGGCGACTAAATCGGCTAAAACGACGTCAAAATTATGACGTTGATTTCAGCACCATTACCGTTGAAAATGCAAAGGGAGCCTGAAAAGCCACTCATGATAGGTTTATTTCACAATTTGGCAGTGCTGCATGGTAAGGCATTATGCGCTTGAAAGTGTCTACTTGACGCTTGTTGCTGACCATCCAGAAGCCCAAGGTATAATTTGGCTGAACCCCATTTTCACAATGATGTTCGACATCTGCAATTTGCTCCCGCCTTATCTACAGCCCCAACATACCACATCAAATCAACTGAACCAGCCATGGTTGCGACACCCTGGACCCTAGTTCGTCTCATGGATGAGTGCGAGAATGCGGAGAAAGAAAATTCCAGCGATGAAGTCTTCATTCCGAGTACTACGATCAAATTGTTGACATCGAAAGAGTGCGTCAGCGACATTCTAAAGGAACGAAATTGTCAAGATCAGGATGCCTTGAAGAAACGGATCTTCGATAAAACCTGCCCTGCGAAGATTATCTTTCTCATCTTGGCTCGAGCCGGCAAGCTAGATCGTATTGGCCAGTTCTTATCCAATGGCTTTTCTGATCATCATCTTCCTATAGAGCTTCTATGGACGCGCGAAGGGTACAAATTCAAAAGTGCCAAAGATTCAAACTGGACTACTGCTCCTTTTGGAGCAGGAATTGACTATAATGATGTCGACTATTTTATACAGAAGCAATGGCCATTCTTGGCCCCTATCTTTGAGAGAGAGTTCGAATACGTGCTACAGCAACGCATTCCTTTGCCGTTGGTTGAGAAAGGTATTGCTATTGTCTCAGGGTTTAGTTCCGTTTCCAAGATCGAGATGCACCCTGCCCACGTCCCAGAGCAGACAGAAGTAAGTCCACCAGATTCGACCCTTCAGCACGTTTGATTTAACATAACATAGTACTCGATGGCCATGAAGAAAATGGAGCTAGAGAGTGAAGATCAAATCAAGTATGTCAGAAAAGAGATGACTAACGTGATATCTCTTCGGTTACTGGATCACGACCATCTTGTCAAAGCAATTCTCGCCTGCACTAGAGGAAAGCAGGCCTTCTTCTTCTTCCCTTGGGCAAATGGGGGAGACCTGTATAACTTCTTGAAAACCAATTCTACTGAGGGCATGGCTGCTATCATATGGATGCTGGACCAAATGGTCGGACTCTCCAGCGCTTTGAGTCTGCTGGCGGACAAGGGGTATCGGCATGGTGACCTCAAGCCTGCCAACATTCTATTGTTCCCTGAAAGGTCTGGTAGCTACCGACTAATGATAACAGACGTTGGTCTGTCGAAACTTCACATTCTGGCAACAAGCAAGCGACTAAATGGGACGACTGCCAAGGCTACCACGAGGAGATACAGCCCTCCTGAATTTGACCTTTTGTTTGATGATGACGGGGAGCCAGTAGAAGACTCCGATGACATCAAGCTATCTCGCAAGTTCGACATTTGGTCTCTCGGCTGCGTCTTCATCGAGCTTCTCCTCTGGGCCCAACTGGGCCGGCAAAAGTACAAGGAATTCGACCGGTCTATGAAAAGGGACCGACGTTTCTGGGACTCTGCACGGGAAGACCTTGACACTAGGGTCAAAGTCAGAATACAGGACCTGGAGGATTCTATTAAGGACACACCGTGTGACGAGGCCGTGCAGCGAATTCTGACCTTGGTTCTGGAGAAAATGCTCCTTGTCAACAGCGATGAGCGTGGCAGTGCCTCGGATATTCACAAGGAATTGAAGAGTATAAGAGATAGTTACGGTGAGTATCTCCAGCCGAGGAACGTGATTGATTTGCCGCTAGGCCTGACTGCCGAGCAGGCCGCCGAATACGACCATCGTCAAAACGGCCAGGGTCCGCCAGACGAAAGCAACGCCATGAGTCGAAGCGCTCCTAAGCCATCTGGTGTCCAAAACAAGGGCTTAAGTACCAAGGCTGTCCCTTCAGGCAATACCGCTGCTATGGCTGTATGTGGAACAATGTGAGCTGCTGTGCCTTGAACTTGATAGCTGACGTTCAGTTAGTACGTGAGTTGAGCGTCGATTCATTTGCCAGAGGGTAGAAAAGCTGACGAATAATCTGATATCGCGATATACAGAATGTATGTATCAAGCGATCCCCGGCATTGGACTTCTGACATCTTGTACTAACTTCTTTCAAGCCTGTTAGTGCATCATGAACATTTCATCTTGAGTCAGTCTACTTACTAAGTTATATTAGCGAGTATGTTCCACCATACTCGTACTTTAATACATGGCATATACTCACAATAGCAGCAAAGCGCCAAGCTACTCAATCAATGGACAATCAGTCCAGACAATGAGTTTGCAAAGAAGTTCTTCTCCGAGGCTTCCCGCCCCAGTCCAGCAGACAGACGTCAGCTCTGTGACTCATGCTCGAGGCTTCGAATCTGGGAGCCCGGTGCTACAGTATCTGGCATAATGAGGGACTTTGGAACTCGTGCGTCAGCATGTGACTTGTGTAATCTTCTATACGCCGTCTCGCAAAGGGTTGGCCTTCATGAAGATCAGGAATTACAATGCGCTCGGAACGGCCCTACACTCAACTTGAATGGGCGCGACGGTCCGCCAGTACTGTCCCTGTTCTCCGATCCTGGTATGCCATCACTATGGTTCATGACTGCCATACTAACTATTCCCTCAGCCTTCAATGCTCATGATCTTGGATCAGTTCAGGTCGGATATCCAACTTTGTTGCCTCCAGAAAGCCCTGAACGATACCATCTCTTTCAAGAGTGGCTCCGCGTGTGTGATAAAGAGCACGGCCATCCACGAGAAGCATCCTCTGGCGGCTATGCTGTCCAGATGCCCACTAGACTGATTCGCGTGGGGGAGTCGAGTGAGCACTTGGAAGACATTAATGATTCTGGATTTCTACGTTATCTTGCTCTTAGCCACTGCTGGGGAGGCAGCACGAGCCTGTCTACCCTGACCAGTAACATCGACCAATTTCGTAACGAGATACCGCATGAACAGCTGCCTCTTAATTTCCAGGAAGCCATCAGAGTCACGAGAGCACTCAAGATCCCATACTTGTGGGTAGACTCGTTGTGTATCATCCAAGACGACCCAGAAGACTGGCGACGAGAAGCTGCTCGAATGGGTCAGGTTTTCAGCAACGCCTACTGCACAATCGCGGCGACATCAGCAGCGACGTCTAACGAGGGCTTTCTCACTCCAAAGCTTAGCTCAACACTTTCTGCGACGTTAGAGACTCCTGATGGCGGTCTGCTTCACATTTCAGAATTCATGGAAGATTGTAACAGAGACTTAGAGTCGGCGCCTCTGAATACGCGCGGTTGGGTGATGCAGGAGCGAGCTTTGTCTAGGAGAACACTGCACTTCACCAAGACTCAAGTTTACTGGGAGTGTGGAAACGGACTTCATTGTGAGCGGTTCTTCAAATTGTCAAAGTAAGTACTCGTAATTTCTCATCGTCTTTTCTATCCGGTCTAATGACTTCTCTTGTTAGTCCCCAATCAGCTCTGTTCGCAGACTCGGACTTCCCCAAGGCCATACTCAAGTACTACAAGGGCGGGCGAATCACTCTGTTTCAAAATCTTTACGAGAAGTATTCTAGACTCAATTTCAGTTACAATTCAGACCGACCAGTGGCCATTCTGGGTCTTGAGAAACACCTTTCAACTGTCCTCCAGACTCGCGGCGAGTTTGGTGTCTTTGAGCAGTACTTGGCAAGAAGTCTTCTCTGGTCTCGACCTCAGAATATCTTTCTGAAGAGTATCACGTTCCAAGATGGCCATCATGTTCCTTCTTGGTCATGGATGGCATACGAGGGTCCAATCACTTATGCGAACATACCTTTTGACAAGGTCGAATGGAGCACAGACTGCTTGCTTCGCGAGGAAACCGGTACAATGGCCAAGAGGACTATGTTGAAAGCAGTTGCTAGAAATCTCAGATTGGATAAGCTGGATATGCATGATAGAGTCAAACTTGATGAAGGGTCTGGGTTCGAACCATCCGACTTGCGGGCGGTTGTCCTTGGTAAAGACAAGAAGCAAGAATCTCGGGTCCGGGTACACTACGTTCTTCTTGTCGCCTTATCCGAGGACGAACCAGAGCAGACAAAGGTTTATGTTCGAGTTGGAGTGGCCTGGCTTCTTGAACATAACATGGCAATGGATGTTGAGGATGTTGTGATTTACTAGCTATTGCTTCGTTGAATTATGGTCAAAGTTGTTCATTCGATCGCTTTTATTTCGTTGCCGACTGCTATGATTCTATATATATGTGATGATGACGATAATGATGATTATGACCAAGGTAGTCTAAGAGGTCCAATCTTATGTCCCCAGACTGTTATGGATGATGGTATGAAGGTTTGATATGCTCCTTTGTGTCGTGGGAAGATGCTTGGCGCGGAACAATATGTGTTATATCCCACGTCTAAAGGAGTCTCGGTCCCATCGAATGGTGTATATGTCTTGCTGCATCTCGACGGAGAACTTGTTTCGGGGGAGACTTCGTTCGAGAATAGCAAGAAGCTTTTGGGGGCTAACGTCCTTCGCATTGATGCGGATAGTATCGTATGATGAGCTGGTCATTGCACGCCCACCCGTTTTTTGTTGTATTTGCCCGGGCATTCTGAATAGGACAAGAGATGTTGGTGAAGTCGGAAGTCAACGTAGAGATGAAAATATGCTTGAAATGGAAGTCGGAGAAGAAACACGGAAGTGGCTGATTTAAAAAGACTTGATCACGGACGCGATATGACTCAGAAATGACAGATTGGAAAAAAGGCAGACAAGGCAACCTCAGAAGCGGGGGCTGTGCCTAGAGGCCTCTGTGGGTGGCCTCCATCTGACACACTTTGGAAAAGCAGGCTCTGGACGGAGCAATCAAGCCAAGTTAAGGTTGCCACCTGATCGCTTCTGCCTGGAATTTTCAACCCTCGCTGCACGTCTTCTCATATCAGGCTAGAGAAGGGTGCCAGAAGCATGCACCGGCGCTGCAAAAAGGTGATTCGCGATGCTGATAAGGATGAGGTGGCGGCACGAACCGCTCCAGGCCAAGCATTCTAACCGCTGTGGCATCATCCTGGCCAATGTCTGTTATGGGTGGCCAGAAGCCTTGTTCGAATTCCCATGCAGTTCATTGGCCGACCATATGCAAAGCCCGAATGTCTTGACCAGGGGTCTCAGCCGCAGTTCAGGGAGGGCTTTATATTTCTCAAATGCGTGCTGGAGAGAAATAAGGAAATAAGGCTCTACGCAATTGACAGTTGAAATATCAGCCTTCAGACATTATAAACAATGAAATGCATTGCTTGGTGTCCCCTGGCCTGAAATATGCCTTAATTATATCATAAGACCCTGCTTGTTAATATGAGCCATGGTCAAACCTTCCAAACCACGTTCAAGAGTGAGGGGAACGAGGAAGAACACTGCATATGTGACATTATCAAAGAGTCGCAATGCATCTCGAAGCCAAAAATCACCAAACCCATCAACGGTGTCTCATCATGAGCCTTTGGGTATCCCCGAATGGGGAGTAGCCCCATCTCGATCCGATATCGCCTTAAAACCTGGGACAGAGCAAGGGTCTATCCATACTTCAGTGTTATCTCAGAGAGAAAGCACATCAACATTTCGGAGTATCTCTGACATGGGCCATAGCCAATGGCTTAAGTCATTAGTTCCTTATCGGGTTTCCGCCAGTATGTCTGGAGAGGTCCAAGATTCGGAACCTCCAATGGCTGACGTCGACTTGTCCTCTGTCTGGGTAACATTGATGAATGCGAGCAGGACACCCGCCATTGATCATACTGGTAAGCAAGCGTTTATACCTCTGGGACAGCTCCTTCGGATTCTAAGCCCAAGGAATGTTGAAAAAATACTCAATCAAAAGTTCATGGCTGAAGATCTGATAAGTCTTACCAACGAGGTATATGGAGCTGATGGCAAACCAAAAAGACTGAAGATCATGGCTACATTGATATTGGTGAATGGACTTCATTTTCTACTAGACTTTGTCAATGCAAAGATAGAAGATAGCAAGCTCCCACTTACGGTTCAGCGACAGGGACAGCAGCCCATCTTATACGACCGTGAGAAAAATGAGATAGAGTCTTCAAGGAATTGGGCTTGGTCCTATCCCGACGCTGAATATTTCACTATGAAGCAGATGCAACTATGCAGTCTGTTCTGCACTATTAATGAGGAAGGGCAGTTTATGGATCATTTTCGACTCCCCGCCGATTTTGTCTTGCCATTCGTGGATTCTGATCCCCCTGAAATTCGGTCTGGAGGGTATGGAAAAGTCACGAAGGTCTTTATTGAGCCGTCGCACTTATTGTACCGGGGCAAATACCCGAAACCAAGTTGCTTCGCTGTCAAGGCTGTTCAACATAGCTCAATAGACCACCCGAGTGAAGCAGACTCTCTTGCAAGGCGGCTGGTCATCAAGAAACTCGAAGACAGAGAGCACCTTCATCAACTTCTTTTCTCCTTTCGCCGGGCCGACTATTACTACCTCGTTTTCGAATGGGCTGATGGCGATCTGACCGATCTATGGGAGACAATGCCAACCTTGTACAGCCCTGATGTCTACGAAGACGCGTGTTGGTTCTTCCTTCAATGCGCTGGTATTTTGAGGAGCTTGGGCAGCCTTCACAAACAACGCTCGTCCTACACCGCCAGCACTTTGGAGGAAATAGTTCACGTTGCGCTGAAAGGAAACTATGGACGGCACAGCGACATAAAGCCGCAAAACCTACTTTGGTTTAGTAATTATCAGGGCGATAGGAAAGATCATCTTGTCATTGCAGATCTTGGTCTTACTCAGTTCAACACGTCACAGTCCAAGTCCCATGCGTCATGGGCTGGTATTAAGGGTTATACACAAACCTACAAAGCACCTGAGAGTGAAGTTAATGGTGAGGTTGGAACCAGATACGACATCTGGTCTCTTGGCTGTGTGTTTCTAGAACATGCGTCTGTGTTTCTGATGAAGGACAAAAGTTGTGTCAAGGCCTTCTCAGGCAACAGAATAAAGGAAGATCACCTTCGAAACAGAACTGGAAATTATCATAGCGATACTTTCTACAACGTGATTACGGAAGAGGATTCTACAGACACGAACAGACCGGTTGGAAGCAGTCACAAACGGGGGGAGGTCAAAGAGGCAGTTCTGACAGTAAGAGTTATATCAGAATCAATCCTACAGCATGAGCTAATAACTCATTTTCATAGATGATTCAAGGTCTCAAAGACCATGACTTATGTGCTCCTTCGATGTGTGACTTCTTAGATCTCATCAGGGAAGGGATGCTAGTACCGAACCAGTCTGTTCGATATACTGCCGATATGGTCTCGAGAGCTCTCAGAGATATCCAGGTCGGTTGTGCACAGAATCCCAGGTACGCTTGCTTATCAAGGCATGTGCCATTGAAGGATCAGTTGAAGTCAATGCCCGAAAGCCACATTCCTTCAAGACAGTCTCAGATCTTGGCAGGTATCTCAGGAGGGCAAGAGGGAAGCAGGGTCAACTTTGACTCGTCTCACACCGACTCAACCGGAGATCCTGGGGCCGCTAATCCAGAAGCCTTGAAGATGCTTAATGAGCTACGCCACATGAGCAACGATATCACTTTATCCCCGGACAGCCTACAACTGCAGATACCAAAAATTCAGTTCGATGGGTCTGTAGCAGGGCTTTTGCAAGAATCTAGCCCTATCAACGATTTAATCGATGGATTAAAGTCCCTCTCCATTAAAGAAAGGACTTGATCGTCATTATACATCTTGGTGGCTGTATGGTTATACCTTAAAAGTACAGCTTTGATAGACTAGATACGCATTCTCTCTACTATGCCGTCTGTTTTCTTCTGAATTACTGGGGATATTCACTGAGCAAGTGGCCAAATACATGACACCGGCAGCGGCATTATTTACACTTGAGGCCTATAGCTGATGACTTATGATCACAGCACGGAGTTTGACTTCAGTATCCATAGTCTAATAAGATTCTATTGCCCTTTGGTGTCTATAGCCCTTTCTATTCTATTCTATTTATCACAACCGTGCTTTCAGACCTCACCTCGCTTGTCACTGACGTCCTCAAGGTTCTCTGATTGGCTCACTTCACCCTTGACATCAGATCTGAACTGTTGCTCCTCCTGCTTTAGTTGCTCTTTGAGGATCTTGTCTGCCTTCCAGATTGGCTTGATCTTGAAGAGTCTGTAAACTTGCTCCAATGGAATTCCACTAGTCTCGGGAATCAGGAAGAAGGCGAAGATGAAGGCGAAGAATGACAGAGTCGCAAAGAACATATAGACACCGTATCCCATTGCAGCAAACATCTGCTCTGTGAAACGCGAGACGAGGAAGTTGAAAAGCCAGTTGCTGGCGGTCGTGCAGGCCTGAGCGAGGGATCGGAAACTGGGGTCGAAGAATTCCTTGAAACTAGTTAGACGATGGAAAAGTAGCTATGATGGAAGACTTACGGAGTTGATGACCCAGGGCGTACCATTCCATGTTGGAGTGTAGACGGCGGTCCAGAGGTAGAAGAATACGATAGCAGCGATACCACTGCCAGTCAAATGATCCTGAGGGTTCTTGGTAGGGTCGACGACGTAGATGTATGCACCCAATACCCACATACAGATAGAGCCAGTGATACCACCAATAAGTAGAAGCTTTCTTCGGCCAAGCTGGTCAACAAGGAAGAGAAGCCAGACAAAGGTCATCACAGCCTTGACGACACCAAAGATACCTGTCATTATGTTTACGGTATCATGCTGAACTCCAATGCTCTGTGTAAAGTTAGATTGATACTAGCACAAAATGCGATTATTGTTATAAACTTACCGAGAACACAGTTGGGGAGTAGTAGTTGATGGCGTTGATTCCAGAGCCGTTCTGCCAGAAGAACAGCATGCATCCCAAGAAGAGACGCCACATCATGTTTGGTCGATCCTTGAGGGCTTGGAAAGGCTTCCAGAGTCCAATACCGACAGTCGACTTCTGGATCTCGTGAGCGTGATCAATGGCTGATACCTCTTCCGTGATGTAGAGATCGGTAGGTGGGAGCTGTCGAATCCAGCAAAGGTTCTTCATGGCCTGTGCTCTGCGTTCCTTGAGGAACAGCCATCGAGGGGACTCGCGAAGCCAGAGGGTTCCGAGGAAGAGAAGACCCGATGGGATGATCTGGACAGCGAACGGGACGATCCATTGTTGGTGGCTTTCGGGCATGTGCTTCTGGACACCATACTACCCATAAGTTAGCAAGCGTGCCATGCGTAAAGGGATGAGGGCTTGGCTCACGTTGATCCAGAATCCTACGAGGCCACCAATCTGCCAGCCAAGCTCGTACAGACCGACCAGACGACCTCGAATGGCAGGAGGCGCCAGCTCGGAAATGTAGATCGGGATGATGTTGCTTGCAAAACCGGTTCCAAGACCTGATAGAACACGACCTGCGTATAAAATTCCTAACCCAGTGCTAGAGTCGGCACCGCACTGAAGACCAGCTCCAAGCGTGAAGGTAGCGGAAGCGATGGCGAGACACCATTTGCGGCCAACCCAGTGGCTGAGAACGTAAGTGAGAAGCGCGCCAAAGAAAGCGCCAGCGATGAAAAGCGAAACAATGTTCTCACTGATCAAGTTTCGCTCCTCGACAGTCTTCGTATCGATCCCGAACTCCTTCTTAAACGAATCGAGCGTGATGGTTGTACCAATAAAGGCACTTGTATAGCCGATCATGTTGGAACCGCACGAGGCAACAACGGCAAGCACATAAATGCGCCAGTTGTACACCGAAGGCGGCGTCGGCCTATCTTCAGCAAGAGTGAGGATACCCATGGTAGCAAGGTCAGTATGTCCGTGAGTTATTCGAGCAGAGAAGCTGTCGAGACAACAAACCGACTCCAGATCAAGAGCTTTATAGGAATCAGTGGGATCCGGGGCCCCGACTTTGAAAGGATGAGTCTTTGTTCTTCCCCATCCTGACAAAGTTTTCTTCTCCATGCGCTACGTTACAAAGATGCCCACATTGCTCTGGGGCGCTGGAGCTGATGGAGCAAATGAGTCGGGCCGGACGAGCGTTTTCCCCGTATGGGGCAACGAGATGAGATTGTCGTCGGTGTGCTTCCGCTATCTGATCAATTCATTCACGTAATCTCGACTGAGCTTAATGAGCTTAAATGATTGGTAAAATCGGCAAATTGAGTCGTCCAAGAATACGTTCCTGAGTCGCGTTGACGCCTCTTACGGAAGGGCGGCTTAACGGCGCTTGGCTTCCAAGCCATTTGAGCCTCACATTGAGCCTCAACATCCACTATCATCGCCAAGAATAAGCCATTTACCGCTGTAGAACCAGTAAACCTCTCTGGAAAAGGCCTAGAAAGGGACCTCGACCTCGCGTAACCCCCACTATCCCCGTCCAATACCCAGACCCCGGACCTTCCGGAGATCAGCGCGGAGAAAAAATCTCCAGGCGTGTCTGAGCCTCCGGCAAAACCTTTACCCCACAAGGTATGAGTCTTTTCTTCGCCAGAGGGATAAAAGCTTCGATGGGCCACGTCAAAGCTCGAGGGTGACACCAAAATCGGGTACCGGCACGTCTAGCTGATCAATTACAGCGTTATCAATGGCATCTAAGAGGACCCTTGACGTCAGTTGCGTTGGGGGAGTTATGCGTGACCCCAAATTCCCCAAATTCTGTGGTTGAACCTTGATCCGGGGCCTCCATGGGGGAATAAACATGGAGATTAGCTATGCATAGACTAACAAACCCGAGGAGATGACTTTATCAGTCGAGAAAGGATTCAAATGCCGAAGGAAACTTCTCAGCGCGCATGGCTGAGCACAGTTGATATCCACTACAAGGGCCAATGAATTGACCGCCGTCATCGGATGCATCCTAAAAATGTTTGCTGTGAGACGCGTATGCGCCAAATCAAAAAAGCAATACTTTCAGAAAACTGCTGGATTTCTTTGAGGGGCAATCAGAGTATCAGGTACAACTTTTGAATTGGCAGTTTTTAATATCTTAGTTAATATAAGCCATTTTAGGATAATTACCAATCTACAGCCCTTGTGGTTAGGTAGGGGTGTTCGTCTCCCTTCATCATTGCTCCCATCCAGGAACAAATCAAGCTATGTGCTGGAGTAAAACTTCACTAAGAGACGAGAATCAAGAGAAAGTGAAGGCAACCTGAATGAAACGGAACCTCCCTGCTTTGAATTCCCGATTATTTGCGCCGTAGCCTTATCGAAATAATGAAGGTAACTAACTACCCTGGACGAGTATGAGGCCTGGTACTGGTGGATACGCGCAAAGTACGCGATTAGGCAGGCCCTGAATTGTTGAGACATTGTCAGCTCAACCAACAGCTTTTCCAAACAACTCATGACGCCAGCAATCGCGGTCACCATGGCTGACAAACGTCCCTTCAGAGTTGTGATTGTCGGCGCGAGTGTCACGGGGCTTAGCCTGGCAAACATGCTCCAGGCCAATGGCATCGACTTTCTGGTGCTGGAGGCTTATCCCACTGTAGCGCCTCAGGTTGGGGCTAGCATCGGGCTACTACCTCATGGAAATCGCATCCTAGACCAGCTCGGCTTATATGAAAAAGTCATGGGAATCACGCCTCCCATACAGACTTTCAATTTCCGAGACACGAATGGTCAAATTCTAGCCTGTCATCGAGAGATGGATAAGCGCATTATCGAGAGGTCAGTACGTTCACGTATCTTGAACCTTCCTTGACTGACTCTACAGCTGAAGGCATGGATACCCCATGGTCTTCCTCGACAGGCAGATGCTTCTCAATGTGCTCTACAACAGCATAAAGGATAAGACAAAAGTCTTGACAAATAAGCGAATTGTGAGGAATGAGTTGGTCAATGGAGGAGTTCGTGCAGTCACATCAGACGGAACGATTATTGCTGGTGACATTCTTGTTGGAGCAGATGGCGTGCACAGTAGAGTACGCTCGGAGATGTGGAAGCTAGCTGGCAGGTTATCGCCGGGGCTCTTTGACCTAAACGAGCATGAGGGTGAGTCTAGCTACATTAAGCCTAACAATACGTTGACTGATGCGCACAGCACCTCCCTGTGAAAACAGCTGCATCTTCGGTATCTCTAATCCATGTCCTGGTATCAACCCAGGCGATCTACATTGCGTATTCAGGAATAGCTCATCGTATCTCGTTACTGGAGGTCCCCAAGGGCGAGTCTACTGGTTTCGGTTCCAGAAGCTTCAGGAGAAAGTTCATGGCTCAGCTATTCCACGCTATAGCGAGAAGGACCTGCAAAAGGCGCTGTCCGAGTCTGCTGACAACAGCATACTGCCAAATCTGAAGTTTTCGACACTTATTGACAACAAAGTGAGCGCCGTCATGACTCCACTGGTGGAGTATGTCTACAAGCAGTGGCACTTTGACAGGATCATCACTCTGGGTGACTCAGCGCACAAGGTGAGTCCCAAAGAATGCATGATATGCACCAGTCTGACACTTGTCACAGTTCCACCCAGTGGGTGGCCAAGGTGGCAACGCTGCTATTGAGAGCGCGGCTCTACTGACGAACAACCTTGTGAATGCACTCAAACGGAGCCCTTCAGGACGTCTCACCACCGTCCAAGTCGAGTCCATGTTCGCAGATGTCCAGTCTCGGCGCAAGCCCAGGCTGGCACTCAACCATCGTTACTCACATAACCGCGCGAACACGGAAGCACTTGATACGCCTCTGAAGAAGCTTATGGCGATCTATCTGCTTCCGCTGGTAGATGAGCAAGTCGTCACTCTTGGCTATTGCTCTCAACATCCTGGTGGGGAAATGCTGGATATGCTGCCAGTGCATCACTATGAGAACTTGATACCATACAAACAGGAACTGCTTTGCGAGCCAACGTCAAGAGGCAGCATGCAATGGGTACTAGTGGTGACGTATGTGGTCTTCACAGTTATCGCAGCCTCTGCAGGCAAATACGGTCCTAATCCAACCGATGAATCTGTTCCGCATGGCCATTGGATCGACAAGGCTTCGATATTGAGTCGCGAGGCCCTAAAGGTCAACGCATTTGGCCATTCCATCCAACCCATCGTCATTGTCATGGTTGAAGGCTATCGCGGAAGAAACAAACTCACGCCTCTTGGACTGTAAGAAATCTTTACTTGGATGAAAACATGAGTACTTATCGTGTCTAGACCTGCCTTGTGGCTCATGCTCATTCAATGCGCCGGAATCGGAGTCGCCATGCCGTTATACTATCTTGTCTACACCTTGATATCGGATGTCGAATTCTACTGGTGGCCTCTGAGAAGATTCGTCCCTCTACGATACGCCAGACATGCTATTTCCGCGTACGTTATGTCAGAAGCAATTCATTTCGGCCTTGTCTTGTCAACAACGCATCTGCCCAAGTGGATGCAAGCCGTCAAGTCATTTTGGCCCCTACTGGTTCCCGTATTCGTCGGAATGTTGGGATCTTTTGGCAGCCGCCAAACTGCATTGAATCCGAGCAAAACACTAAAACTCGAACTAAAAGTGCTTGGCAGAATATACCTGGTTGCTGGACTTTTCGGCACTTTGTGTCATTGGTTTGCCATAATGCAAGCCATTCGCAACGCTGACCTCAACATGATACTTAACTTTAGTCAGCCGGCTTTAATCGATGAAACACTCCATATACTAGTAACACGACATGCTGGAGTTGGTATGTACTTCCTAGCGTCATATGTGTGGACTTTTCAAGCTGTCTGGGATTTGAACAGACTTGGCCGAGCCAACATGAACCTGTTCTCTGCATCACTCTGGATCTTGCTGGCGCTTGTGAGTTTTGGACCCGGTGCAAGCGTTGCTGGTGTTTGGTACATAAGAGAACATGCTATGTCACGGACAAGCTTCCAGAAAAAACAAGCGGCCAAAAATACTTAGTTTCATGATGGCGACGCCGTCAAGACTGGGGCCTCTCGATAACTTCTGGTTGAGGTCTAAGGTATCTGATAAGATAAATATGGTCGATAAGATAATGTCTTATCGCACGTGCCCGCATGCTGATGGGGTTGATAAGAGGTCTTTGGTCGAACTGCCCATCGAAGATAATAATAAAGCCTCAGCCGGTATCTCAGTTCGCAAATTAAAAATGATGAACTCAAGACAATAATACACTCAGTTTCTCTCAATCACATAACATGGAGGAGCACGCGCGTCGGCCCAGTTCTATGCCGGCGCAGCTTGTATCTCGCAAACGCGTCGCGCCGGTAATCTCCGTGCTAACCCTATGCCTCTTTGTCAACCTGTCAATGAGCCTCTATCAACTCCCCTCAAATCGATTGATTGAGAGGCGCCTTTGCATAGATTATTACCACCAGAATGATCCGTCGCAGATCCAGCCCGATGGCAGCGTTGATGAGAAGCTATGCAAGATTCGAGAGATAGAAAAAGACCTAGGTTGGATTCAGGGCGTGATGGAGACGCTCTGGGTCGCTGGAGGTAAGTCACTCATGTGCTCGATAGCACGTAACCTGCTAATGATGAAGACTTTATTATGACTATACCCCTCAGCTTTCTGGCTGAGAAATGGGGCCGTCGGGTAATCCTCAGACTCAACCTTCTTTCGCGTTCTTTCATGCTGCTATGGGCTATCATGGTTGGAGCTTTCGATACCCTACTCCCAATCAAGGCCTTTTTGGTCGGCCCGGTGCTCTCAGTCCTTGGTGGAGACTGCGTCTTCAACTCTCTTACCTACGGCCTTGTCTCGAATTTAACGGACGACCATGTTCAACGAGCTATCTACTTCGGATACATGAGCTCAGTGTCTTATGTCGTAGCCTTACTTGGGCCTGCACTAGCTTCATCTACCATGACTCTATCGCTATGGCTACCGTTCTGGCTCGGCATATTCTTGCTGTTATTGGCTATCCCTAGTATACAGATGCTACCTACGCAGGGAAACATAGACATGGGAACAGATGGTGATGATGAGAGCCAACATGAACCCCTCCTCTCATCCCCTCGTATCAAAGCCCAATCACATCATGAGTCACTACTTCAGTCTGTTGTTGACCGCCTTCAGACGATCAAGACCATCATCATCAGCCACCCAAAGAACTTTAGCTTGTTGCTGTTCAGCTTTGTACTCACATCCCTTGCGAGCTCAGACACAAAGCTTCTTGTTCAGTATATATCTGCACGTTACAAGTGGACATTTGCTTCCGCCGGCTATCTCTTATCTGGAAAAGCAATCGTCAACTTCACGTTACTCACCATCGTTATTCCCAAGCTTTTGCGATCTGCACGCCAGGTGCGACAAGAAGATGCAGCTGAGGTAGCGGATAAGTCAAATATCCGAAACGCTATGTACTGCCTCGTTGCATCTGTATTCGGCGCGTTGGGGATCGCCATTGCGAGTGAGATTTGGATATTAATCCCCTCTATGTTTATCTACGCTCTTGGTTCTGCCCTTCCTATCTTCACTCTATCACTCCTTAAATCACCTGTCATCTCGCCGCCTCATTCTCCCGACTCGTCAGATCCTGAACCTCACATTTTCTCTATTGTGATGCTGGTAAAGACTGTTGGTTCACTTTTAGGGGCGCCTTTGATGGCGGCGCTCTGGGTACGCGGTCTCGGGATTGGCGGCATGGCTCTCGGTATGCCGTTCTTCGTCAGCCAGGCGTGTTATGCTGTGGCCATTTGGGTTTTCGTAAACATAGAGGTAGACCGTGATGTGCTGGCTGCTGCCGAGCGGAGGAGACGCAACCGGGACTAGAGCTCAGGAAATGCCAAAAGTCAATTCGCTGCCAAAGGAGGCACGTTTGCGATCTCCTAGCCCTGTCGAACTGCTTTGAAAACTCAACAAGAATGGCTGGGCAAGGCTGGCATGGTGGGTACGAGAAACAGCCATGGTTACGTTTCAGAACATTCAACCACATGAATTGTTGCCTCAGGTTATTTCTGGATGAAATGGCTCATTAAGTTGCAAGGTTCAGCATGTTTCTGGAGATGATATTCGCGTCCCTGAACTTCCTGAGACATGCAGTCATCCACCAATATCACCGCAGCCGCCCTCAATAGTCATGATCCGGACCAGGATCTTGCCTCCAATACTACGTAGATCAGTCCAATGTCCGGAAATAGATAGATACACAAAGCAGAATGCTGTAGAATCCGCGTATAGAAGTTGGCTGCCATGCAAGTGAGATTCAGCGCCATGTTCAATTCTATCTGCCAGCAAAACAACTCATATATCACCTAAAGTTGCTACAAAGCCTGTAATGCAATGACTATAAAATAGACTGAAAAGAAGCTTTTTACTGCAATTATAAGCATAACAAGCTCGTCAAGTAAAGTTCGGCGAAGTACGCCAGAGGTAAGATCGCGCGGTTAAGCTTAACCCTAGTCAGGGGTCGCGTTTCAGCATCGGGGATTTCTTCAAAAACTAACCAGTGATCGACGCGTCGTCTCATTTGCCTGCAGGGGTCCTTCTCAAAACATTCCCTTCTGATAGGCGGCAATATTCGTGTTTGAAACGAGCGGCATGGGCTGTATCAATTAAGAATTTTGCCATGTCAAACGGTGGGTTGTTTCAGGCAAAATGATCCACCTATCCACCTATCTTCAGAACGACAAGGCGAGTTCGGGAATGTGGGCAATCTGATCAACGAAAACTTGGCTTCTGGGGCCACCTGGGGTGTATGTCACTGAGTTAACGAATGATTCCCGGCAAGTGACAAAGCTATAAGTTTCCAAGACATCTCCTCCTTTGAACCTTCTTTTTGTTCTGTGTCTCATCATCGCTTTCGTTGCATTTTATTTCACTCTTTCGACAAGCTGTGCTTGGTCATTCTTTATTTGTCTTAACCATTCCTAAAGTATTTACTGGTTTGATACCATTTTCTGTCTTTCAACTTATCTTTCCTCACCTACCAAGCATTCTTTCGTACCAATCATAAAAATGCAGTACCGTGTGATCATGGCGGCCACGCTGGCCATTGGTGCTTATGCCGCTCCCGCTCCTCTCATTACTGGAGCTCCATCCCTCTCCCGCCGTCAGGATAGCGAGGGTGGCTCCGGTGGTTCTGGTGGAAGCAGTGTTCTCGATGCTCCCATGACCATCGCTGCCGGCGAGTCATTCGACGGCGGCAATGCTATCTTCGACCGTGGTGTTTCTTGCACTGGTCAGGAGGAGGGCGGTGACTCTGATGCCGTCTTTATCCTCGAGAAGGGTGCCACTCTTTCTAACGTCCGCATTGGTAAGTTCAGCCGGTCGTTCTTATTACCTGCCAGTCCTAACTGTTACAGGTCCCAACCAGATTGAGGGTGTTCACTGCAACGGTGGCTGCACTCTCAACAACGTTGTCTGGGACGCCGTCTGCGAGGATGCTTTCTCTATCAAGAAGCAGGAAGATGGGGAGACCACTACCATCAACGGTGGTGGCGCTACCGGCGCCGAGGACAAGGTCATCCAGCACAACGGTGGAGGTACCGTCATCATCAAGGACTTCGAGGTCTCTGACTTTGGTAAGCTCTACCGCAGCTGCGGTAACTGCAAGGAGATGCCCGCCCGCCACGTCGAGATCTCTGGTGGTTCTGCCAGCAACGGAAAGATCCTCGTCGGCATCAACTCCAACATGGGTGACACCGCCAAGATCTCCGGCATCCAGCTCACAAACGTTCCCAAGGAGTGCATCACTTTCGAGGGTGTCACTGACGGCAGTGAGCCCAAGGAGGTTGGCACCTGCGACTCCAATGCTGGCTCTGGTTCCGGCTCCGGCTCTGGAGACTCTACTGAGGCCCCTGCTACCCCTACTACTCCTGCCGATGGCTCTGAGACCCCTGCCGCATCTGAAGTTGCTGACCCTGTTGAGACCTCCAACGATGGCTCTCAGGACGACGATCAGTCCGGTGACGACCAGTCCGGTGACGACCAGTCCGGCGACAACAATGATTCTGAGAACGATGATTCAGATGATGACAACAAGGACGACAACTCTGATGATGAGAACAAGGATGAGCAGTCTGAAAACGATAACCAGGACCAAGACTCTGAGTCTGATAACCAGCAGGCCCAGCCTTCTCAACCCAACTTCAACTTTGGAAGCGGTGGCTTCGGTGGCTTCTAAGCGAGCCTTAGAAACGGGTTGGAGACATCGTACAATGTACCCAAATGCACCGGCCGGATGTAGTTGACGGCGTCGACCGCAGCCAAAACCTTGTGTTCTTGTATCTATATAGTTAATACTTATGGGGTTAAGACAAACATTGAGACGCTAACATTGCTTTACTGTTCTATGCGACATCATGTTCATGGTCACTAACGCTCGTCAACGGAGTTCCTGATCTAGTTGCCACAAACAACCCAATAACTTCTTGAAAACATTTACTTGATGGAATAGAAATAGTCAGCAGTAACAGAACCCCAAACAGCATAAACTATACCAAACAGAGTAGTCGCCGAAAACAACACGCTGCCAAGCAAGAAACGCGTAAGACCTAACCTCATTCGTAGCGAAAACAGGATGAGAATGCGTGATTCGTATCCGATAACTATGCGAGACTTGCATGACTGTCAAAAATCACAGCTTTGCGAATTAAGCGGTGATCCAGGCCTGGGGCTGAGCTCAAAACTGGAACAACTCGCTTCAAGCGATCTCTTGTCGACTGCCAATAGGTCAATAACGAATTCACCGCGCCGCTCCTGAAGGGCCAGTTTTGCAAGCGTCCTTGATAATGCATTATTTGGTGGCATGTTCTTCCCTTGGCGGTAGGTCTTGGGTGACGTATTTGTCAACCCTCTTCATCCATTCCTGGGCATATCAAGCATGCTCACATCCTCTTGATCAAGACTGTTCGGAAATCAACAATATTTCAACCACAATGATTCTCTATACTGCAGACATTGAAGAAATAAATGCTCAAATTTGTATGTCTTG